CGTGAAAATATAGGTGCATCCCATCAACTCATCATTTTTGGGGGGGTCTTTAAAACCATAAGACAATTATATGTAATTTGCAATTGTCACTAAAATATCTTTTGAAAGCTTACTAATGCCCAGTATTCATGATTCAAACTGCTAAATATTTATTAACAAATATGAATAGTGAGTTTGCCATGGTTTACATTCGTTTTAATATATAATCTGTATGTATAAAGTTACCAGTGGGTCCAGTTGTCAGATAAACGTACTGGCGTAAAAAGTACAGTATTTCCATCTGAAATGCAGCCGAATAGAAGTATAAAGTCACAGAAAATGGAAATACTCAAGTGAAGTACCTTAAAATTGGAGTACAGTAGTAGAGCAAATGTCCCAAGTTACTTTCCACCACTGATTGTATAATAAGGTGATTTGATACCTACCAGGAGTGTTTTCACACGCAACATCTCAGGGTAGGAACTGTTCTTACCTCCTGCCCTCAACCGTCGGTGTGCAGGTCCACCGAGCTGTGAATCCAATCCACTGTGGTTGCTATTTCAGCGCATAATGATAAAGATCAGGGTCTACTCGGCAGCGTTATCAAGTGTGATTGGCTGTGATGATGTTTGTCCTCTTTTATGGGATATTTTAGCCTCAAGTGGATATTTCAATCTTCTTCAGCTCCTCTGGCAACCTGATTGAGCCGAGATGTAGTTTTGCCGCACGCTGTTCTGAAGCAGGATTTGCGTTTCAATATGTATTCAAATTATGACTTACAAGTGAGTTTGACTTTGTCTGAATTTGTATTTGTACGAGGAAGCAGAAAGCGCTTATTACCCGCTCCCTGTTTCTGTCACACAATCAATTTTTCCTCCCTTTGCATTTCTGTCAGACATGGTCTGCAACACGACGTGTTTTCTCAGGTAATCACGTAACACAAATTGTATAATCCTTTTTAAATTAGCTCCTCGTTTGTAGCTAAATGTATCTGTCATTCCCGCCCTGAGCAACCCACCGACACACAGTTAAACTCCCGATTCACTCTCCAACTCGCATTAATTACGTGATTGGCTGCCGTATTGTGGCAGTGTCTCTGTGCCGACTCACAGCTCCCTCGTGTTGTTGGTAACCTTTTCCAAATGGCTTCCTGAAAGCCCAGTGATTCTGGCAAACCGTGAATTGTGGATGTCCCAATGCCAAGTTATCGTTTTTCGTAACGTGCCTGCATAAACTGCCAGGACTGATTGCGTATCACATTTATTTTGTACATATCCGTGAAGGTTTATTTTACTCTCTCAAGCACCCGTAATCCGCTCCCCCTTTCTCCTCGTTTCCTCTCCAGTCCAACTGCAGCAGTCTCATTTTCCTCCTCTGTGCACTTCATAGCACTGCTGGATCCCTGCCATCTGTGCCTGGCCACAGTGTGTACGTATGTATCTGTCGTGCGTGTGTGTGGTGTGTACGAATGCGCATGCCTCGGGCCACATAGGTGTGTGTGTGTGTGTGTGTGTGTGTGTGTGTGTGTGTGTGCGTGTGCGCGCGTGCGTGCACGGATTGTGTGCGAGTGAGTGTTTGAGGGTCGTTAAACTTGCTGAGACAGCCAGGGCAGCACACAGGTTCTCCTGGCTTCACCACAGTTCACTGGGTGAGGAATGGCTTTGCACAATGCCTGCCGTGCTGCCAACTGGACTAGACTTACTTTAGTCCCTCCGTCCCTCCCTCTCGGTGTCTCTGTCTCTATTACCTCTCTCTCACTTTCCTTCCCCCCCCCCCCCCCCCCCCCCCCCCCTTGATTCTTTCCATTTCACCTCAACTTCACGTCTTCATCTGCTCTCCTGTCCTGCTCTCCTTGTCTTTCTCCAGGGAACACCATGATGATCATCGTGGAGAGCCTGACAAACGGGGCCTTGGATTCCTTCCTTAGGGTAAGTTTTGCGCAATTTGTGTGCGTGTTTATGCGTTTATGTTAAACGCACTTATGCAGACGCGTTTGCTCATTGTCCCATAACAAAATGAAGCCCGGTCATTATTCCGTTTCGGAGCCGTTTTACAAACAAGGCATTTTGCTCTAATGATCCTAAATGCACTATTATTACAGTGCAGTCCTGGGGCAGCTGCACTTGCACTTATTACAGTAATAAGGAAATGCACCATAATTAATAGCACAAATGGAGTGTTTCTGCTGTAAGCTTCTGTAAACTGTTATTGTGCCCCTCTGCTCTGTGAACCACTGCGGCGTGGTGTATAATGATATGAATTAATGGCCTATTTGTTTTTTATCCTCCAAATAAAGGGATTTAGCCCAGTGAGCACATCATTGTACTGTAGTAACAGATGTGCCGCCTTTTCGGATCACTGTATCCACACTATATATCCTCTCAACTCTCCTCTCTTCCTCTTTCATTCCTTTTCCATTCACCTCCTCCCTGGTCGTCTTTCCCTTCTCCGTCGCCTCTCCTTTCGCCTCACAATAACCTCAGAAGCACGAAGGCCAGTTGAGTGTAATGCAGCTGATGGATCTGCTGACTGGTGTGGCATCGGGGATGAAGTACCTCACCGATATGGGCTTCATCCACAAACGGCTGGCCGCACACAAGGTACGGGAGCAGGTGGGAGGAGTGATGCAAACGTCTTTGACAATCACTTTTGGCTGTAGGTTTTTGTTACAGTAATGCGCAAAACTGAAAATGAGACAACACTGTCGAAAATCGTTTTGTCACATTCGGGTTTCACTGTGTGGCATTTCCCTAAAAGAGCCCGTCTGTCGGACCTGCAGATGGCGGTGGTCGCGTTGCAGAAACATGAAGGACAACTCAATTTGTTGTCGTAAACAATCAATTGTCCGTGGTGCGATAAGAGCTTTGCCCACACTGAGATCGTTTGCTCTCCTAATGCAACCAATGCTAATGAGTTTGTTCTGCCCCTCTCAGGTGCTGGTTAACTCCAACCTGGGCTGCAAGGTTTCTGGCTTCAGACCTCTTCAGGAGGACAAGATAGAGGCCATCTACACCACACAGGTAAGAACAGAACGGTAACACTTTCTGTCAAGTTCATGTGTAAAGTGCATTATACTTATAATGTGTTATAACCTGCTTATAGCATTGTATGGTCATAGTTATAAGCCCTCATAAATATTCATACTTTATAACAATAATCATTAAACATTCTTCATAACTATTGGTCCCTCACTGACATTGTTTTTGAAGTATCATAGTTTTCTAATTCACATAGTTGTAATACATTATTATAACTGTTATAATAATATAATAATAATAATTATTATAGTATGATTATTAGTAACTCCAAGTGGTCATTGTTTGCGTTAAATAAAGATGAACAACACACAAATGTAGAATTAATTTTCAGTTATAATAGTGATTATAATGCATTATAAAAAGAATACAATGTATTACAACTATAAGAATTACAACACACTAGGATCCTGAACAGTGTCACTGAGTGACCAGCAATGATAAAGTATTGTGATATTTGAGCTAATAAGTCGGGATGAAATCTTTTAGTATGTGCTATGGTCGTTATTAAGCATTATGGATATTTATGAGTGCTGATAACTTTGATTATACAGTAAGCAGATTATAAAGCATCATAAGTGTGTCTTAGAAAGTGATACCAAAGAAATCACGGTAGAAACGTTTTAGGTTCAGGTTGTTAGATTCTACTTTCCTAATTAATGACCTTCAGAGTGGCACAAAGCCTGTTGGTCACACATGTACAGCTGATATTTTTAATGAGCCTTGGACCAAATGAGAGTTGGTTCAGCTGAGGTCATATAATTAAGCTCTCAGGAAGAAAAACGTTTTTTTTCGGGTGCTTTATTTCCACGGATGTTTTTGGATTCCACTTAAGGTGAACCAACTCCTCTAAAGAGTCTTTTGATCTTCTGAAAATATGTTCAAAAGCTGTTCAAAGAGAATATTAAAGCTTCATTTCTACGAACTCTCCACACCCTTTCACTCCACGTCTTACCTCCCCGCTTCTCTGCTGCAGCACGGAGGGAAGAGCGTGGTGCTGTGGACCGCTCCCGAGGCCATCCAGTACCATCGCTTCTCCTCGGCCTCAGATGTCTGGAGCTTCGGCATCGTCATGTGGGAGGTCATGTCCTATGGAGAGAGACCCTACTGGGATATGGGCAACCAGGACGTAAGTGTGTGTGTGAGAAAAGCTTAGAGATAGGAGGCTGCTTTTCCATTAATCTTCCCATTCATGTCCTTTATATTTCTCCCTCCCTTTCTTTTTCAGAGAATATCTGCACTTTAGCAGTCTCCCTCCCTCTTTCACCTCCCTCTCTCAATGAACTCCGTATTCATGCCCAGCTTGGATGTTATTAAAAGAAAGCCAAAGAGCCACAGTACCTCTGAAAGCTTTTGTCGAGCCTAAGTCCCCCTCTTTAAGTCTGCATCAGCTCCATGACCAATCCTGTTTTCTCCTAAGGACGCATTGACCCCCTTCTAGTGCCCTCCCCTCCCCCCCCGCCTGTCCCAGAGTGCCATCCTGGTGTTAAAAATCCCTCTGAAAAAAAGATTCCTCATTCATGTAAATATGAAGGGTTAGAGAGATCGACCAGTCGACAGGACCCTGCCGCTTGTCACCAGAAACCTATGATTTCCAAGTCGATGTGTGTTGGTGCTCGGTTTTGCTGTCGTCACTCCGACCGCTTTGTCCTTCACAAAAAGGTGTTTTTTATTTGACTTTGTGCAGGAAGTCATGCTTGTGTGGTGCAAGTCTGCTGAAGAGGCAAGAGAGCAGATTATTCTTTGAGACTATTTTTCTTCTTATTTAAGCCGACGGCACACAGGGCAGTAAAAGGACCATTTTAAGGATAATTATCCTTCATCATACCAATGCCCTCTCAAGTGACTGGCATCAGAAACTAATGCCTCTTCTTTGTGCAGACAGGTGCATAGTTCAAAAGCAACCGATTATTTGCATGTTTCTTTTTTGAATGTGCCAAATTGATATGCATGAGTTATTCAGCAGGCACAAGATTGGTTTGTTTTGCTTTCCCCCCCCGCTGGTGCCCTTTCACCAGGCAGGAGAAACTTTCCTCTCAGCCCGGTTCATATTATCAAACTTTCCAATTGAGAGGCCAAAGGTCAAGCTTGTAGAGCGCCGGGGATATTAGTCCACTTTAAATTGATACATTATATCATAACGGAATTGTTGGTCGGCCCCCGTCCACCTGTGATCCGTCGTGCCCTTTACCTACCGGCTTTGATTAAATGGAAAATGTCAAATGCTGAAAAGGCTTTTATGACTGCTCTTTAGTGAGAGAGGAGCTTAAGGGGCTGAGAGGACGGTGGTGGAGTGGGGCGCCGCGTGGGCAGGCAGAGAGAAGAAAGAGCGTTTTAGGAAATAATGCCGCTGATGGATGTCATTTCTGTGATTATGCTCCGACTATTTCCTCCTTTCAGGAGATTGTATCTCTTAGAGCGATGCAGGAGGGAGGACGTATGGCACGTCCCTGGATACACTGAGAGGAGGTCTCCTGCGAGGTGTTGCAGTGAATGGGCTTTGAATGGGGACAGCATTAGTTTGATGGAGGAGTGAGGAAGTCTGGAGGGACGCTTTTCATGCTCTGCTATTTGAAGACTGTGAGGTCTCATGGGGTTGGATTAACAATGCTGACCTGAGATGAATCATTTTGTCTGCCTCGTTGTGTTTAGTAGCTTATCTTTTAGAGTGGGTCCGGTGTAAGAAAATAATCGCTCTTGTGGTCGGTTTGTTTCGTCTCTTTAATTTCTCTTCTGTTTTTTTTGTTTTTTTTCATCCACTGGCAGACAACATATTGTATTATAGGAAATTAAAATGTTGGAGTAAAATGTTCCGCTGATAGCAGCCCAGCTGTTGTGATACCCCATCAAATATCCTGTGAAGTGACACTGAGACATTGAATATCCTGTGAAGTGACACTGAGACATTGAATATCCTGTGAAGTGACCTTTCAATCTTAGACAGTCAGTTTGCCAGCATACCTTTCTTCTCTCTCTCCGATAACAGCTGCACACTCGCTGTACGGCTCTAGTTTTTTCTTTTGTTGTAGGAGTAGCTTTGAGTCGAGACATCGCTGCATATTTGTAGTCTGCTCATATTGTTTAGGTTAGCAGTATCTCTCTGTGAAATTCTGTTTATTTTGCAGCTGGTGCTGACTCGCAAGGTGACCTTAAAGGATGCTGCCTCGAAATAAGTTCAATTAACGAAGAGCAAAACAATGCAATGGAACATTGTAGGTGGTGCAGTTAGTGACGGGAGGAAACAAAAGCACCAGCACTTTTCTACTCTTATTTATCCTGTTCTGTCCAAAGACTTCTATTCTTGGCAACTAAGCCTCTGAAACGGAGAAAAATCAGGTTTTAAATACTGTACTCAACTTTTTAAAGTAGGACAACACTTTTTACATTCTTATTAACTCTCCCCGTTCCGCCCTACCAGTCACATACATTCTCTTTGGGAATGTATCCAATTCCAAGTATGATAAGTACTGGATATTCCCAACACTAATTTCAAATTTTCTAACCTGACATAACTATTTGCCTTCGTCTGCATGTCCTGTAGGTGATCAAGGCCATCGAGGACGGCTTCAGGCTGCCGGCTCCGGTTAACTGCCCTCCGCATCTCCATCAGCTGATGCTGGACTGTTGGCAGAAGGAGAGGACAGAGAGGCCCAGCTTCAGCCAGATCCACTCGGCCCTCAGCAAGAGCATTCGCTCCCCCGACGGCATCGGCTCCTCCACGTTGGCACGCAGGTACGGCCCGGTAGTGCATCGGCTCAGTGAATGGATGGCTGTGCGCGGTCATTTCAAGAGATTTCCTATCAACGTGCAACCAAACCCCCATTTCTTCTTCTCCAGAACCCTGAGTTCATCCATTACTCTAGCAGAGAGGCCTCTGCCCTCCTTCCCGTCCTTTAACTCGGTGGGAGAGTGGCTGGACGCGGTGGACATGGGCCGGTACAAGGACAACTTCACCGCTGCAGGATACTGCTACTTGGAGTCTGTGGCACGAATGACTGTACAGTAAGTGGCTTTACGTGTCTGTGTAGCAGTGACCTTTCATTTCCTGTTTTAGAGAAACTCTAACTTTAGATGGACTAGTATTACCAGTAGACCTCGAGTAGAAATCTGTATTTTACTCTAATTTACTGACATTTCCCCCCGGATGTGATGTCAAGGCTCCGCGTAACATCTGCTTATATTAAAGCTATTAAACAAGATCATTGATATTCGATATTATAAATACAATGATATTGCATAGGCCTATTTATGTTGATGTAGATTCACAAAGACCTCTTGTTTTGGTGCCCACAGGAATTGGTGTCCATGTTCTGTAGCGAGATGAGCCTCCTGAATTTTCACCCAAAATGCTGTCACAACTTTAATATATAATGTCCTACGTGAATCTCGACCGGGATATCAGGCAGGAGAAAACATAAAAACCCAAATCCCAGAGATGCCGATTCGCACGAGTCTGATTTCATCACATGAGCTCAGTGTTTAGTGAAGTAGAGCAGGTCATTTGTGGTGGAATTTCTAAATAAGGACAAAGCAGATTTACACGGGATTAAGATCACAGACAAACTCCACAATTATTACAAATGACTATTGGGCCCCAGGTCGTACTAGTCCCGTGCAAACAGGCCATAAGGAGCAAAACTATTTCTCACATATGGAAACTCCATGCAGCAAATACATGCTGTCAGTCGTGTTGTATTTACACATGCAAAAAATAACTCGTATTTTTGTCATTTACATTTTTGAGGAGCAACTTAAAACAGCTGGAAAAACTTTTTGCGCATCACCAACAGCTTTAACTTCCCACCTCGCTGCAGTCATGTAGAAGTGCACTCCTGGTTGTGTCAGTACACTATGACATCACTGTTGGGTGAGGTCATGGGGGTAACAGAGGATATCACTGTTGTTCACAAAAAATGTCTTGGTCTTGACTGCAACACTACCAATTGTATACCTGTGTTGGGCTGTCTTACCAGCCAATGGCATACAGTCCAATCCATTTATCTTCCTTCTTTTCTTTTTTTTGCTCCACAGAGATGTATTGAGTCTTGGCATCACCTCCCTTGAGCACCAGAAGTTGATACTGGCTGCCATCCAGACCCTCAGAGCCCAGGTGATCCAAATGCACGGCCGCGGTGTGCAGGTCTAACAAGCAGTCGACATGCCTACTCTGCCACTGCTGCTGCAGACCCACTCGTGTGCACAGACGGATGACGGAGGAGAGAGAGAGAGAGAGAGAGAGAGAGAGAGAGAGACCTATTCCAAACTGAAGGAATGATGAGCAGATCTTCCAGCTCAACTGCGCTCTATCTACTCCTCCTTCCCACGCTTCCTCATGCCTTCCTTGATTCCTTACTTCCTTTTTTTTCTATGAATCCCCTCAGAGACGAGCGGCGTTACTGTCGCGTTTGAGGGATAGCAGAGGAGTGATGTCACCTGACCTTTTTTTTGTGACTTCTATCTGCATTTCAATAACTGTCAGCTCCACCTCACTGGCTCTGGATCAGTGCGTAAAGACACGTGAAATGTTGTCTCAAGCAGGAGGGGCTCTGCCTGAAGCTGACCTCTGAGCAGGAGGCGGGCACGGATGCAGTGCGCTGCAAACACGCCGGTTATGGACTGGTGCTCAAAGACACGTTAACATTTTGGATGGAATTTCCCTTTATCACAGCATTGATTCACTAAAAACTTCAAGTCGCCAAAGCCAGGAGCGATTGTACTGGTCCTGGATCAAATCACTCTCCTCTCATAGAACTGGCACAGCTGATTCAAGCAGGAAGTGATTTACTAAGCGGATACAGAATCATATCATTGTACGTCAGAGCTGATCTCATATCAGATGGTAAAGAGACATGTTTGAAACAAGTTTAAACATGGCTGCAGTAGCTTAAGAAGACTGTGCTGTCCCATGTCAAGGGACAAGAGTTGGATGAGTCCTCTAAAGAGGCTCAATGAAACGGGGCTAGCATCCAGTACAGTCCTATAGTCGGTGTATAAAGTGTGCTGACATGATGGACAAAGCTACTGTAGCTTATGGGGGATGATATACTGTACTTTCAGGAACGTCAACCTGTGTGTTCTTCTTCTTCTTTGGGGCTACTGATGGTTGCTGCAGGATACAATTATAAAGGTTGGACGTGTGTTTGATTGTCATTAGTTTGTGGTATGTTGTCTGTTTCACTACACTCCATCATTGTATCTTCTTATTTCCTTTGTATCTGGTTGTTTCTGTTTGCATTTAAAACATCTACCGTTCCCTTTAGCCTGCTGAATGTCATCTCGGTAACACAATCCTCCTCTCCAAAGCCTCTCTCACGACCATGTTTAATACTCTGCATTGAGCACGGGCCACCTCTGGAAGATGGCCTGCTTCAGATATTTATTTATGTTTACAGACTGTAGCACACAGCTCTGCAGAAAAGAGGTGAGGAGCGTTTATTTAACTTATGGTATTTGGAAGAAGAAAAAAAAAAAAGTCAAGCAAAGGAGTTATGGCCTCGTGTTTTGTTTCTGTTTAGTTGATTTTTATGTGACTGAGTTTATATCTGAACAAATTAGTTGTTTGTACACAGGAAGTGAGAGGAACACTGGAGGGTTTTTACTGTCAGCACACAGTATCTGTGTATTCTTCTTGAACACTGGAGTTGGTACAGTTAAGTTTAGGTCCATAATCATTGGATTTGCTGTATACACTACGGTGCGTGCGTGTGTGTGTGTGTTGCAGTAAGGACACAGTATTAAGGAATGTCTAATGGACTTTTTGATTTTCTCTTTGTAGCTGTTGGATTATCATGTTTAATTTTATATTCTATGTTGCTGTGAATATCATGCTGTCATACTACATGGTTGCACTTTTCCCCCAGATAACTCCTAAAATACTCTGTACAGTGATCTGCCCCCCCCACCCTTTCTCTGACCAATTCTATACTTGAGACTTAAAGGATGACGTTTATCGGGGCATTATTTGATTATCATACATTTTCACAAAACAAGGTACATACATTTTTGACTGGAATATTGTTACCGTTTTATCTTTGGTGCAAAATCAGTTTTTGTTCGTTCTCCTTGTACTCCTCGCTGTAACCGTTTTGTCAAATCAGTAAACTCATGTCCTTATAGATGTTATCACGCACATGTTAACATCTGAAGAAACACTGGTCTCTTTGACACACACACACACACACCCACACCACAAACTGGACCTCGTCACCACGATGAATGAAACTTTCACATCTCTATCCCCCCCTCTGTTACTGTGACCATTATGATATATGTTTAATACTGTAAATATGTATTTGAAAATGCGAAATCTATTTTTATAATTTGTTTGAAGAACAATGTGTTGGAATATAATATATGCTCACTGTGTAAGGGTTTTATTTGTTTGAATTTAGGGCCATAGCCAAGAAACTCTGGTGTTTGGAATATAAAAGTGGAAAAAAAAAATCTTTTTGTTAGTTTTTGATGATTTTTACCTGTTAAAAGAAAATCTGATGGCTGTTGCAATATTGAAACATGTTATTAAAAAATCTCCAATCCAGGCAAATGTTTGTCCTTGTCTTCTATTTTAGGATGGAGTGTAAACCTTGAAACTAAATCTGCAATACTACAACCCGACCAATACAAAATGTGTGAGGCTGGTATTTGAGGGTTCAAAAAAAATGCAATAATTATACATAACTGCATAACTTTTTTTTGACGTGCTATACTGTGACGTTTTTCGGCATGCTATATATGACTTTTGTATGACTTATTTTCAGACATACTATACTGATCTTTTTTAGATAGTTTGACTTTTTCGCTATACTATATTGTGATTTTTTTTTTAAAACTTTTTTCTACATACTATTTGTTACGACCCAGCTTAGGGTTAAAGCTGGCACAACATGAGAATCTCCTCTGCCCCGTTTCCAAGAACCACCAGCAACCAGGTATATGAAGGTGTTTAATAGTATATTTAAAACTTGCAGCTTCAGAGTGATGCAACAGCAAAACATGAACTTAATGCTGATCTACTCAAATAATGAAACAAAAGACAAGTTGCTAACCTAACTCCTAAAAGGAGAAAAAGGGGTTAGCCAAAATGCTAACCACCCTTCAGAAATCTGGGCTGTTTGTCAATTGACAAACTATGAACACTTCACAGAGAACATGCTGACTGGCATTTTTGCTGGAAGAAAAGATAAGAGTCCTGCAGGGGCTGAGGGAAGCCGGCCTCTTGAACCTCAAGCTTGGAGGCTGGAACCAATCCGCTCCTGGGAACAACCGACACACGAACAATCATCCACTCAGCCCATCAGCCACAACAACAACACAACAGAGAACATGAGCATTATACACAAATACATGGAACAGTGCACATACTATCCCTGGGTGGTTACGATACTGTTATTCGCCATACTATGACTTTTGTTTTTTTTCAATGTACTATTCTATGACATTTTTACATGACCTATTCAAAATACTATACATGCTATACTATGACTTTTCTCGACATGCTATACTATGACTCTTCTCGACATGCTATACTATGACTTTT